TTCTCATGGAGAATCTTCGACTGTCTTCTCATAATTATGGTGTTGTAATTTTTCGCTCAGGAGCATCAACCAGTCGCAGTCCTGCAGGTGAGGAGCTGTTTGTCGCCGTTGTTGCAGTTGTCGTTGTTTTTGTCATTGTCGTCGTTGTTGTTTTTGTTTTTGTTGTTTTTTGCTGTTGTTGTTGTTGTTGTTGTTGTTGTTGTTGTCGTTGTTGTTGTCGTCACTGTCGTCGTTGTTGTTTTTATTTTTGTTTTTGTTGTTGTTGTAATTCAGGAGATGGCTGCTGGATCGGAACAAGACGTTGTTGTCGTCATCATCATCATCACCACCATCATCATCATCATCATCATCATCATCATCATCATCAGTTGTTGGTGTACTCATTATCTTCTGGTCGAGGGGTAACGGTCATCGAAACGACTTTTGTTGTTGTTAGTATTACAATTGTTTTTGTTAACGGAGTTGGTATCACAAAGGGTTAATGTGCAAATGATCCTGAATTAAATCCGCAATCGAACGTACGTTCTTGGACTGGTGTTGTTCTGGATGTATCGGATAAAGTCGCTTTTGGGCTTGGTTGTATCAGACATGGATGTTTAATTAATAGATCCAACCACTTTAAAAATTGTCCAGTGTTCAAAAGTGCTTTAATCCATATCATACTATACCAGTATAACCCCTTGAATCTGCAGGTTGCATTGACAAATACAAAAACAATAACAACAGAAAAAAACTCCCCAACAAAAATGGAAGAGCAAACCAAATCACCTTCCATGTTACTATAAATAATGCTTTTGGAGTTGGAAACTTATTTTGAAAGAAATTTGAGCTTAGATTTCATTCTATTACGAATGTACACCTTTTTTATTTTTGAACCTTTGTTTGTCAGCAAACTTCCGGAGACGAAAGACTGCACGGAAGTGGAGCAGCTCTCTGTCGACCCGCCCCTCTTCCGGTTCAACGAGTACTACCGCCAAGGCTCCCAGAGAGGTACCAATGACAGCACTTTGCTGTACAGCACTAGCAGTGGACTTTGGCGGACTTGTGACGACCTCACTGGTAGGCAAATATTGTGTGAAGACCCCACTTGCAGGAAAATGTTAATGCTGTGTGACGACCTCACTGGTAGGCAAATATTTTGTGAAGACCTCACTGATAGGCAAATATTTTGTGAAGACCTCACTGGTAGGCAAATATTGTGTGAAGACCTCACTTGCAGGAAAATGTTAATGCTGTGTGACGACCTCACTGGTAGGCAAATATTAATGTTATGTGAAGACTTGACTGGTAGGCAAATGTTATGTGATTACCTCACTGGTAGGCAAATATTAATGTTATGTGAAGAATTAACTGGTAGGCAAATGTTGTGTGGTGACCTCACTGTGGTTGGCAAATGTGTGATAAATTTGCTGGTAGCTCACTGGTAGGAAAATTGTAAAGGTGTTTGAATACCTCACTGGAAGGCACATTTTACTGTAGTGTGAAGACCTAACTGGTACAAATTATTGTGTGAATTTGAACTTGTGACTACCTCTTTAGTAGACTTGTATTATTGTGTGAATATGAACTTGTGACTGCCTCTTTAGTAGACTTGTATTATTGTGTGAATGCTAGTGGACACATGTTGTGTGAAGACTTAACTGGTAAAGCAATATTGTGTGAAAACAAACATGTGGCTGTCTCATTGGTAGATATATTGTGTGAATACCATGGACATTTGAAGACGTTGCTCGTAGGCAAATAATATCTGACGAACTCACCGGTAGGCAAATATGTGAGGCAACGTGGTGGAATCAGGCTCTCGTCAAAATAATGAAATCGAAGAAAACAGCAGTTTTTTCCCTGCTTAGCAAATTTTATTAAATTTTTGTTTTTTGGCTCACACCTTTTATGTTCATTTACAAACACATTCCTTTGAGGATTTCACGGAAAACGTTGATTAAACGCACAAAAGTATAAATTTCCAGTTTCCATGGACTCTCCAGCTTTGGAAGCTCTCTTACGACCGCATCGACACAATTTGTATCATTTAGAAGGCCGGTTTCCTACCCGTCTTGTCAGCTACTCCAAACCGAACTGAGAGGGATACAACATCCTAGCAAAAAGGCCGAGATACTCGATAAAAAATTCCTCACCACTCGGGAATCGAACCCGGATCTCCAGCTTAGACCACAAAACCCGTAACCGCTATAACACAGACGACGATCAAGCCTCTTGTACCTTTCAATCAGTTGACATAATATGTGAAAAAATATGTTTTGTTGTTTTATTATAATAACATTACAACTATAATAATTAAACAACACACGTTTTCTTGCCCACGGGGCTCTTGTGGCCTAGAGGTTAAGGTGTTGGCCTCTCATTCAAAAGGTCTCGGGTTCGAATCCGTGTAGCGACCGAAATATTTTCTTCTCTAAATTTGTCTCCTTTCACATCATTTCCTGCTCTCTAGCAATGTTCTGTTGTCTGCTTTCGTCTCCTCTTTCTGTCCCCACCCCTTCACCTCCTTTGCCCCTTCCTCTGGGCTCCTGATTCTTTCTGCAGCCTTTCTACTGCTACTCCTTCGCTTCTACTTACTGCTGTCTTTCTGCAACACCCCTGATCTTCTGGTAGGAAAGATCTACACCTAGCCTTCTCGGACAAGGCGATAAAAATCTCGGAGGGCCCGTGTGCAAGTTGCGCATTTTAAAGATCCCTTGGTGGTCTAAAATCGATAAGAGTAGGCTTCGGCCGCCACCCGGGCAAAATTCAAAATTTCCTACCAACTGAAAATATTAGGTGTGTCCCGCGCGCTCATATGACCTTATGCAGTTGCGAGCGCCGTAAAACACTTTACAAAAACAAAAAAAACCATTTCTTGCCCATCTCCCCAGACTCACTTCGGAGCGAGTACGTGAACGCGGCAGAGACCAACTACAACGGTCAGCGCTGCTTCGTGTTCGTCACAGACTACAACGAGGAGTCCAGTCTGCTCAAGGAAGGATCCAAACAGATAGCTCGTAAGTGGTTAATACATAAATGTAGCTACATGCAAACAAGAAATGGATAGTACGGAAGGAACTAATGCCGTGATTATTTCTACACGTAAAAAGGGAGATATATTATTCTAGCACGTGAATAATTCACCTGTGGCTTGTACAATGATTTAAAAAAATATCATTGTCATGATCTCCATACGATTATACGATTCTGACAACTGCTGTTCGGAACCTACCCTTCTCATGGAGAATCTTCGACTGTCTTCTCATAATTAAATTTTAAAAAGTCAATGTACAGTCTACCATCAAGAAAATGAAGCTTATCACATTATTGTATTAACTATAGCTACGGCATCACTTGCACCCAGTCAAAAACTTGTTAAGATGAATTGATTGTACATGTATTTTAAACACATCGCAGTTCTGAAAACTGCTGCTGAAAGATCGGTCACTTTGAAATAGCTTCTTCAACTTGAATTTTTTTAAAAATGGAAAAGGGGAAGAATTAGTAGGTGGTTGGCGGGTGCTCTGATTTTGTTTTCTCCTGTTTTTTTCTATTAAAACAACTACACATGTATTTTCCTTATCTCTCCTCGTTCTTTTCTTTGTTAGCCACTCTCTAGTACTTATTTTTACACGTACTTTTTCATCTTCTATTTTGCCGTTGAGTGTCAAGGGGAGATGCCATTTTGTATGGACGGACAACTCTTCAGCTCTTTCACCCGAGATGTTGTAGTTTCTCAGAGTTCCCTTGACTCCCCCAACTCAATCCAACGTTTGCATTTCATATCTCTTCCTTAGTAGCCTGAGTATTTATACTATTAATGTTGTAAGCATCACTCTCGCTCTCGATCACCAGCACCTACGATATGACCCATTTGTGTTGCAATGGCATATCTCTCTCTTGCCCTTTTTAACTCCCAGTGGAGCACAGGCCATCAAAAACATTACTCCAACGAAGCCTGTCCTGAGCATCCTTTTCTATCTGTTTCCATGATGTCCCCGCTTTTTCAATTTCCGCTTGTACCGCTCGCCTCCATATCATCTTTGGTCTTCCCTTCTTACGCTTTCCTTGTGGGTTCCACGTTGAAGCCTGCCTGATGATGCTGTCGGGGGTCTCCCCAGGGTGTGTCCAATCCATTTCCATTTCTTCTCCTGAATATCTTCCTTTACTGGCCTTTGGCTTGTTCTCTCCCACAGTTGAGCATTCGTGACTCGATCGTACCACTTGATCCCCTCGTAGGCATCCATTTACGAAGCTCTGCAGTTTCCTTGCTGCTGATGCTGTGAGCCTCCATGTCTCGCAGTGGCATATAACTCCTACTAAAGTGGAGTCGCTAGCCTAGTGGTTCGTTTGCCGGACTAGTTATCATGAGCTTGCGAGTTCGGAGGATGGAGTCTCAGCTCGGTCGGTCCGACGTGGTGTTCTTAAGAAAGATACTTTACACGAATTTTTCGTTCGACTGTCTCCTTTGAGAGATGAGCGTTAAACTCGGAGGTCCTTCCTCTTAAATAACCTAACAGTGTTGACAGGTGCGTTAAACATACTTACTTTACTTTACTTTTCTGATCCAGCGGCCATTTGGGTTATAGCCCTTCGGTCTGGCGTTAAACATACACAATTTCACCATGTTTCACTCTTACTAAAACAACATTTTTATTAATATAATCACGTGACGACCCCCAGGTCTCCAGAACTCGGCGGCGTCCTGTTACATTGTCGTACTCATCGACCTCACGTCGGCGGCTGTGGTGGGTATCATCGGGATAGGCCGGAAACAGGTGGCGTCCTGTATGGTCACCGGAGTGCTCTACCTTATGGCTGGTGCGTACGCCTGTTTGTCTGTTTGTTTATTGATTGGCTGATTGATTGATTTATTGATTGATTCATTCATTCATTGATTTATTCCTTTTGGTTTTATCATAATTTATTCATTTATCTTTTTATTTGTTTATTTATTTATTCATTCATTCGTACGTTTATAGACACTCCCTCCCCCTTTTGCAACACCACACCACTCTACACAAAGCAACACAACACAACACCACACACCACACAACACATTATTTATTGAACACACCTCTCTTCATCCACAGCGCTGTTCGGCGTGTTCGGCCTCTCCATGTTTCACACCAAAGACTACTACGAGAAGTTCCAGTGTTACGCTCTGGACGAGATCCCCGAACAAGCCTGCTATGCCCGTGTGGTGGAGATCGGCTTCGCGGTACCCATGGCGTGGGTGGGCGTGGTCGCCTGCGCTCTAGCCTGCGCCATCTGGCTGTGTGTTTCCAGGGCCCTCCGCGTGATAAAGGCCAAGACGATGTTATAGTGAAAGCTTCGCTAAGGACTTTTGTGTTTCAGGCTCGGTGTGTCAAAGATATTGTGTCATACAATGACACGGTGGAATCAGGTGGTTCTTTTATTTAACGTTTGAGCGACTGAGCTCAGTTAAGAATTGGTCTTGAGCTCATCCAAAATAATATGGAAGCCCCATAGCGCTTTGTTCTCTTGGGTCTATAAGTGAAGATGAGATGAGTTGAGTTGAGGAGAGATGAGATGAGAGAAGAGAAGAAAAGACAAGAGAAGAGATGAGAGAAACCTGTTTAATCGACAAAGGAAATAAATTTTGGATGGATACACCACAACATCAAAATACAAAGATTCAGCAAAAACACTGGAATGCTCTAACGACATTCGTGTTCAATGCAAAGATGCACACTTCAGTCACTCAGATGTACCCAAACAATGTGTTCTTCCTTCTTCTTCTCGATTGCATCACACTTGAAGCCCGGTATCATAAATATTGGGTCGTCCTGCTCAGTTCTCAAACATTGTGTCCGTGAACATTGTCTCTATCCCAGTCTGTGGAGGAACTGGCGGTATTTAAGACGCTCCTTTTTGAGTGTCCGGACGTTCGAAGTCTTACAGCCCCCACGTACCTAGAGTTGCTGTGGTCAACGGTTGTGTTGGATTGGAACCACTGCAGCTCTCTGAGGTGTGCGTTTGGTACGTGGAAGTGTAAGGATGAGCTACCACCTTTCGTGTGCTCTCAAACCTGTTATACTAACAATATATTAAGAGCTTCGGAAGTCTTCATTCTATGTCTTCTATTGAGGAACTGATGTCATGGTACTCTGAATTCGTTTTCTGAGCCATTTACAGTTACCTTAAAAGACAACTTGATTATGAGGACAATTAGAGAGGGGAGAGAGAGAGAGAGAGAGAGAGAGAGAGAGAG